GAAAATGCTACTGCAATCTCTTTAGAAATTCCCTCCTCCACTCTAAGTTTAGAATTCTGTAAGAGAGGAGTGAGTGCTTGTAAGGGTTGTCTCCTAAACCCGTGAAAAAGAGAAGAGAGGTGTAAAAGGGTAGTTGATCTTCGTCCGTTGAAAAAAGATCAATAGTGGATACCGGTGGCCTTTACGGAAGAGGAATTGGTGAAGTGGATGTAGGTCATGACGACCGAACCACTCTAAAATCTGGTATGTGTCTTATTCTTGCTATTTACCTTACTGCAAACTGAATTCCTCCATCACTACGTTTCCATATAATTTCAAGTTAACATCTTTACGAAATCAGTTTTATCGCAACGAAGTTTTTAAAGACATAATTTTTACCGCTGCACTAATTCAACCTCCCCTCTTAGTGCCGACCCCGTTCCTAACAGCTAACCGATCTTTGAATGTATTATGGACTCATATAGTGAGATCCACACTCAAGCCTAACAGCTTTGTTCTTCGTTCGTTTATTCTATGAGAAAATTTCTTTTTAATTTATTGGGGTCTGGTATTGCAATGCTCACTCAGTTTCACCATGTTTACGGAATATTTTGATTTTATGGCAATGAATGAAAGGTTCAATAACGATGAAGCCTGGCTAATCTTGGCAATGGGAAACCCCATTTGAGCGACAAGGATGCATAGTGAACTAAATGATGCTGACACCGGCACCTTGGAGGAAGATGAAGAAGCTCTAAAGCATGAGATTAAGGTAGTCAAAGTTCATTTATGAGATTCTTTACTCGACTGTCTTTCTTGGGCAATCCTTGATCGAGAAACTCAGGTTTAGAATATCATATTTTAATTGAAAGGTTTAATATTAAAAATCCATCAATGATGAGTGTGACTTTTTTGATAGTCTTCTTTCAATCTCTTTCACATGAATATTTTCTAATATTCTTTCTCTATTCATGTGCAGCTCAATTATTTGATTTTTTTTTTCAATCATCCTAATTTAATATTTTCTAATATTCTCCTCCTATTCTTATACACGTGAGACTCAATTATTTGGTGCTTTTTTTTTCGATCATCCTTTTTTTTTTTCTTTGACTTACTTGAACTTTGGCTTTGATATCATGTTAGAGATTCAATTATTGACTCTTATGCCATGTTAGAGATCCATTAAAGAGAAATATGAGTCAAATTAATCAAGATCAACATATATCAAGCTAAGCATCAATTCAACCAAAAATCTCAAGTTATTAGGTTATGGGTCAAACTCAAATATATGTCATCCGACTATTCTTTTAGTCTTCTTTCTAATCTCTTATCACACATAAATATTTTTTAATATTTAAGAATCTAGTTTCATTTTATCTATACAAACCTTTAGTAACTTTACAATAAGTCGGGGCGATATCCATGATTGAAGATCTTACTATGGAAGGGGCTATGAGTACATAGGTAGAGGTCGAGGTGATGGTCAACTATGTCAGATTTACGATGACGACTTGTGCTAACAGTAATGGTGGTTTTGGCACAACCCAGCAGATTGATCAGAGATCAAGAGACCGATCATAGATGCGGCTATCACTGGAAGCAGCCATAAGGTTTAGGGTTTCATTTCTTTTACCGAGCAAACTTAAGTAGTTATCAGGTCTTGATGGATAATTTCTTATAATAGTAAGTCGTCAGTGTCGGCACACTCGCCTCTGTGCAAGAACCTGTATGTATCATCAGTTCAAGCATGGAGAATAGAATAGCACTACCAAGAGCTGTATATTTCGTCAACAGATGTTATCTGCTCCAAAAAACTACAAAGAAAGCTTGCTGTTAGGTTGTAGCAAAACCTTTGTGTCTGCTCGTTCATCAAACTTTGTTATAATTATAAATTAAAGGTTTCAAATACTGGTCACACTGGTTACATTAGTATTAGGCTAACCTCGTCGTTGCATCAACATCTATAACCTCGTCATGTGTTTTTCTAAGTAACAATTTGCTCGATTTGTGTCTTCACAAGTATAGCAACAAGCAAAGTTGAAGATATGAAGGTGATACCTCCGAAGAAGCCAGTGATTAAAATACTCTTATCGTTAATAAAAATATATATTTTTTATATCGAAATCCAATTTGGGTTGAACTATATTTTCAGTTTAATCGATTACATTGTTTTTGGTTGCACAGAGTTATGCCTTATCTATTTTTTTCCTTATTGTCGCAAATATTATTAGGTTTCCTATAATAAGTAGATCTAAATTGAATATTAAGTGAGAAAAAAAAAAGAACCAAAAGCACTATAAATCCATTTAAAAATATTATACCAAGTAATGCCTTATTTTTTTTATTGTTATTTTTATAATAAATAAACATAAAATAATTTAAAATGTTAATATATCTATATTTAATACGGAGTGGACAAAAAGAAGAAATTTTCATTTTCTATTTGAAAAGATATAAAGGCCTTCTTAATATCCATTAAGTATCACATAAAAAGTCCCAAAATTTTATAAAAACTAAAAAATATATAGCAAATTTGATAATTAAGGTTTGGGAGATTTGAACTAATTGAGATTCATTGCAATATTTTTAACAAAATTATGGTGTTTTAGTGGACGACAAAAATGTTGGTAGTCTTCAAAACACTTTAAAGTCCATTTAAAAACATTGCTAATGTGAAAATCTTACTTTTATCATCATTTTTCTAATAAATAAAAATAAGCATTATAAAATTTTTCTATACATATATACTTAAATTTAAGGTTAAGTGAAATGAAATGAGAATTTGTCAGCATTTATCTTGAAATACACCAAAATATTCTTAGTTCCAAATTCAAATATCGTTTAACAACTCTCAAATAAATCATTTTATAAAATCTTAAGGTCAGTGAGAATTTGTACTAATTAACACCAATTTAGAGTTTTCTTGAATAATGCTACAATATTTTTGATTCAGCAACTTAACATATTATTTCCTGGTTTGGTTGGTCAATCAAGGTAGATTTTCACGAGAATATAAAAAATTAAGAATGTCAATCATCAATTTATATAAAAAGTTTGAAAAGTCAAGACTCTCCTTACGCATTTTTGGAAATGGAAGGTATAATATGGGAAAACCTCGTGAACTTCTCCTGAAATCACCCAACATATAAGACTTGTATGTTCCATTCCATCTCAATTTATATGACTGAATGGTGCATTTCATCATAGTACAATTGGCACACAAGAAAGATTGCCTAATATGAGATCAACTTCATCATCATCACATCAGATTTCACCAAGAAATAAAAGTAAAAGGGAAAAAGACCAGGAACCGGTCTCTTAGGTATTCAGTGGGAGAGGCGGCGATGATAGACTTGTGTACCATGTATTATATGGTTTCCGATCAGCCACATATGAGACGGCAAAGAGCCGCTGGTCTGGTGTGACGTCTCTTCTGTTGTCCTCCTCATTTGGTATCTTTCACCCTTCAGTATCTATCTTTCAATCTTCACTGCTAGATGAGAGGATTCGCAGCAACCCCTCCTAATAAATAGTTTCGTAGGGCACTTTATGCCACACCCACCAAAGGTACCACTCATAGTCAGCACAAACGTTGCATGAATGGCTTTCTCCATTGGAGGTTCGGTTTTTGTGATGAAAATAAGAAGTCGTTAGTGCATTCACGCGTCAGCATGCTGATGCGACCAAAATATGAGGCAAGTGTGCATATGGGTGCCAGTGTTTGATGACGCAAATAAACCCCCCCAAGCCAAGTTTATAAAATATCCTGAGTCCGTCTTTCTTTGATAAGTTAAGTTTTGGAACTTTTGATCATCCAATAAGAATATTTATCATGATTCAATGCAGATGTTCAGTTGGAATCATGTGTCTATCTTTTTATAATATTTAATAAAAAATATTTAAACAATAGATATTGACTGGGTCCAATAATTTCAAAATCTTAACCTCTTAGGAAAAATCCTATATATATATCTTTTAAGATCATCCACAACTCTAACAAGATATTAGAATTTATCATAAGTTCAAACCCTATATATATTCTCATATTTATAAGCTTTAAGCTTTCGATTATACTAGTAAGTCAATCAAAATATTTTTTATATTTTAATTAAAATGTTTCATGTCATATGTTTGTGGTATCAAAATAGATCATGTATTTGAATTCTATATCTGTTTCTCAGTTTTTTCAAATATTGTAAGTGTTTAATATTTATAAAAAATTCTAAATGTTAAATATTATGAATATATTCCACCTTTTCTACCAAATTGTAAGATCTTTTCATTCACAAGAAACTTCAGCTATTGGATCACGTAACACAATCTTGTAGGAGCTTCGAGTTTTCGACTTTGTGTAGCTTGCATATTCTATTTAAAAATATTTAATCTCTTAATAATATTTGTGTATCAAGATAGAGAGGGATGGGATTGATGTTTGATCTAATATATGACCTAAAATCTAGAAACTTAAAACTTTTGGATGGAATTGATGTTTGATCTAATATATGATAACCCTAATTAGTTTGATTCAAACTTATCATTATAAAATATCTGACATTATATTAAAGCCATTGGATAAAGCTTCATATAGATGAGTCAAAAAATTAAAAAGATTAAGCTAGTATGTCAAAAATTTTTAAAAAAATATAAGTCAATGATTTAACTTAAAGGAAGATGAGTCACACTGTAACGGGTAGATACGACTGAGTGAGTGAATCGTGTGTCATAGCATAAAAAAAAATGATATGGACTAAATTTGAATTCTTAAGAGTAAGATGAAAACAATAAGTAACATTAATTTACAAATTTAAGTTTCTGAATAGGATTGATATCTGATTTTATATATATTAACGCTGATGAAAGAGTTAGACTATACAATAATCTTGTTGTCGTTGGACCTGTCTGCCATTCCTTGTTGATCGCCACTGCATTTGGGTTTCTTGATTTGGTTAACGTAGAAATGTCGGCACGAAGATGCCATGTCGGAAAGGGACAACAAAATATTGGGTCATTTTTATGGCGGTCTCTTTCGACGAGAGGGGCGAGACCGAAGCACCACTGCTCTCTTTCATCCGCAAAGCCATCCGTTCCTGCCGGGGGGGTGGGGGTTGTGTCTTGCTTTGATTTCTTTCTCTTGCCCTCTCGTATTTTAAAGAAGAATCGGAGGAAAGACATGGAAAGACCGTGACCAGAGTTTGGCCTCGGTTTACATGGTTTTGGACGGTGGAGGACTCAGGAAGGCCACCGCCAGAGAGATGGAGAGGCAGAAGGTTGTTGTGGTGGTGGAGGAGGCCGACGCCGCCCGGACCGCCCTCCTGTGGGCCGTGCGCAACTTCATTCGCGGCGGCGACTCCATCACCCTTCTCTACGTCTGCCCCTCCACGCGATCCAAGCGGAAGCAGAGGAACTATAGGCTCAAAGGATTCCAGTTGGCTCTCTCTTTCAAGGACCTCTGCAATGGTATCGCCGAGGTACAGGTGTCGTTGTCAACCAATCCAGCTTAACTGGGAATTCTATCTGTTTAGGAGCTTTAATCTTCTCTTGTTCTTGTTGTATGTCAAATTTCTCTGCAACTCCCTTTTCTGTACCTGCTAATTCTTTGCAGCGTCACCCCTGCCCAAACCCTAAAAAACTGACAGATAAGCTGCAGTAATCCTTGATTGATTTTATATCAGAACCGCAATGCGGCAAGCAGTAAGTGACTGAAAGAGGCCCATGTTTAAGAAAGGATATTGAAATTGGCTGATTTGGGGAATGATTACATGTTTTGCAGGCTAAGGTGGAGATCATAGTGACAGAGGGTGACCAAGGGGCGCTGGTCGTGTCGACTGTGACCAACGTTGGGGCTTCAACTCTTGTGGTAGGACTCCATGACAAGAGCTTTCTCTACAAGTAAGTTTCTGCCATTCTTCCTAAAGAGTTCAAACAACAGTTTTCCAGGTTATGTCTTTACAATCAGTCTTTGATTTTGTTCTCTTTAAAACGTCAGAATGTACTGCTACATTCTAGTGCTTGCTTTTTGGTTACTCAAATCATAGAATATGAGTTAAGCTTTAATGTGCAGTTCCATTGGATTCTTAAAAAGGTTTACTGAAATGATATCTAGAGGTTGCTTCTGATGTTGGTCTACATATCTTTAGACATCCAAAGTATTTCTTTCGGAACAGCTTATTGGGATAAATTTACAGGGCATCCATCATTTACAATGAAAAAGACTTTGCTATAGAAAAAAATTTCCTGAATAATTTGTTAGTGATCTCTGAATTCCAGGGCTCCCATTACAAATATTGGCACAAGAAGCCTAAATTGTCGGATTCTTGCTATTAAGCAGCACTCAACCACACAGTATGGCCTTCTCAACACAGACTTCTCTCAAGTTGAAACTACAAGGTTATGGTGAGTCAGTCATTGGGTCTCTTCTTCATTGATATAAAATTGAGAAAAAGAAACATGGTATAATAATGTCTATTTCTCTTTCTTTTTTTTCGATTGCAGCATATCAGAATCCAGAAACCTATTTCCTATCTTCCCTCTGTCTTTAAGAATGTTCTTTGGAAAGTCTAAGAGGAGAAAGTGCTAAGGTTATAATTTAGAGTGCAGGACTATGGGCATTCCCCATGTGACCACAAGCAAACCGTTGATATATATTTTTTTCTTTTCTTTGACTTGCAACGAAATACACACACAAATAGAAAAAACAGTAAAAAATGTTGATCCGTGGGTTTCTCTTAACTATCAAACAGAGATTTAGCAATCAGCAGTACTCTTAACAATTCGGCCAAACTTTCTTTGATGATGCTTGCTGTTGCCATTATTTACGCAAGCTCCGTTCTCGTGTTGTTCCTTGTGCTGTTTGTTTTGTGCTGCATCAGTGGTGGCATGATTACTGACTGCATCAGACAATCCCTGGGTGATAATAGGTGCAAGGAAAAGATTGGTTTGATTCTGTGGCTGTGTTCTCTTTTGCAAGATGTTACAGTTGTCTGCGTGGTTTGTGATCATCGTACTAATTACTGCTTGTATATTGATCTTTTGAGGTGTCCACTTTGAGTAAAAGAGAACTACTGGTGGTTTTGATTAAACAAAGCCCGTGACAAGAGTAGCATCCGTGTAGAGAACATCAAAACCATAGTGCTTGCTTGATCTGGATTGCTTATGATCTATAAGAGCGCAATGCTTATGTAAATGTTCAGGGTAATCTACTGTGCTATGAATAATTGTCTGTTGATAATAACTTGAAAATGGAACGGACTAAATATGTGTGAAAATAAATACAAAGCTAATCAAGTTTGTGTGGATCTCAAAGATATCACCCACTTAATGAAAATTTGTGTGCCTCTGAAAGATAAATTCATTTGGTTAACCAACTGCATTTTGGTGTAGAAGTTCTTCATTTTCATGTAGTTTGAAATTTGATTGAAATTTAATTGCTTTTACTTTTATATCTTCTTTTAATTTATTTTTTTTTGCAAAATATCCTAAGAATCATTTTCTTTTTTGTTTTCCCTCAACGTTCTTAGGAAAATTATATCTAAAATGCCTTGTGGACTCATCGAAGATATCTTTTTATTTTTTCTTTTTGATCTAATTGTTTGATCTCTTATTATCATGGTTTCGATATTATTAGATTCATCATAACAATTCTCGACCAAATCTCATTGATCAAGCGAAAGAAACATCATTCTCAACTTCATAATTTTGAAGTTGTAGTTTTCACTGTTGAAAATGAGAATACTGTTCGCCATGATGGAATCTTCCCCAAAACTTAATTTCTTTGCAACTCGAGTCCATAAGTCTGAACGATCAAGAGAGCGATTCGGCTCTGATATTAAATGATGGAAATTATGTGGTTTATAGGATTGCTATATTAGATTTTAAAGAAAAGAGAAGGATTTCATTCTATTTTTCTCAGTCGCATCTCTAGTTTTCATCCACAATCCTATAACTAAGAATAACCTAATTAGCAACCCTATTTATTTCCTAAACTATCTCATAACATTTTTAATATTTTTAAAACACCCATATTGATCGTTCATTTGTGGGGCGGTGAATTTTGGCCTATCGACACCTCCCATTTCAGCTTCTACCAACGATTGACATCTAACCCGTCACTGATCAATTGAATGCCAACACTCTTGATGCATGATCTCTCGACGCCAAGGTCCTTCTGTTATGCTTCTTCCTTCTATTATGTCGTCTTGCATGTTAATTAGGAAGATACGGTTTTTGTAGAGCTTAAGTTTTATATGGTGAAGTTTGTCTTTTGGAATGTGTTCCCGGTGGACGAGGACTTTATTAGCATCTGAGTACCCAAGTGAATGGTAGCTGTGATTTTTTTTTTTTTTAAGAAAGATATTTTATTGAAGTCAAAAGAAAACAACTAATTATCTATCTAAAAAAAAAATGCCCAAAGTTCCTCCCAGAAAGAGCAAAGCCGATGAGTTTTGTTATTGGTAGTTCTAGAAATTTAAGTAAAACAAGATGTTTGAAGTGAGTTGAAAAAAACATGATATATATAGTCAAATTATAATAATATATATGATATATATATATATATATATATATATATATATATATATATATGTATGTATGTATATGTGTGTGTATATATATGTATGTATTACACACATATATATGTGTGTGTATATATATGTATGTATTACACACATATACATATATATATATATATATATATATA